GCCGGAGTGGGGCATTGCGGGGAGTGAGGGCCGGACCGAGCCGCCCCAAAGGACCGATGCGCCGGGTGGGGCGCTGGCCCCGGAGGGCGTGAGCCGCCCGCAGATTGAGCAACTTAGGAACGCGCGGGCGGAGCGCGGGCGAGCCGGGCGCCCAGGACAGTCCTGCGGCAGGCGGGTGAGCCGGCCGCGCCCTCGCCCCTCCAGGGCCTGCCCCCGCCGCGGCTGGCAGCGCGGAGGTGAGTCCCCCCTGAGCTGCTCCGTCCACCTCCCTAGCGCCCCCTTCCCCGGGACCTGGGGTGCCGGGGCCCTCCCGTCGGGGCTCGGCTGAACTGAGTGCCGTTGGGCGGGGGGCAAGGGGGCGACCTCGAGGGGAAGGGGACTTCTGGCTGCTGTCGGGTCAGAGGGTGGGAGAGGGCACCTCCTGCAGCCTCTCCTGCTACTCCTTGCCGCCTCCAGCCCCGTCATCCCTCAAGCCAATGGGCAGCCCCCTCCCGGTTGCTGGCTCGGGTTCCCCTCAACCTTGCAGCCCCCTGTGATCGTCCTCACTCTGAATCTGATCTCATCCGACTCTGAATCTGAAACTGATCGCAACCGATCGTTCTGGATTCCCCAAGCCGCTCAGTCCTATTCACTCCTCCTCCCCAGTCCAGAAGCTCTTGATCCCTGGTGCCATCGCCTCGGATTCCCGAGTCCCATGGCCCCTGGTTCTTCCCACCTCAGTCCCGCAGTCCGGGTCCGGGTCCGACGTGGCAGGCTGCGAGCACGACCGCCCCCAGTGTGCTGCGAGGTGGCGCGACTCACTGGCCCTCGGGTCGGGCGCTGAGGGACGGATGGTACTGCTTGGTTGGGGAGAGGCGGGGGGGGGGGGGCTGTGTTCGCCCCGGGCTCAGAGGAGGGCGAAGACGGATTCTGGGTGCGGGTGGTTGGGGGCAGGGGCTTTCTTGTGAAACTGGCCTCTTGGATTTGGAGAATTCTCTTGGATTTGGGGGGACAGTGAGAGGGACTTCAGGCCCGCCTCTCCTCCCCCTGCACCTGCTGGGCCTCTCCGGGACAGTGGGGAGGGAAGAAGAATTTGCGCGCATGGGGCAGAGATGGAGGGACATGAAGGAGCCTTTCCTGGCTGCCCTCGGTGTTGGAGGGGTGGGGGGCGGCCCCAGCACCTGGCTTGGCTCTGGCGGACACGCTAATCCCGACAGGTCGGGCAGGCACGCACTTGGTCCCGCCCCCCGCCCAGCAATACTTCTGCCCCCGCCCGCCAGCCCGCTCCGCGGCCGAAACTCCCCACCCGCAGCCGGTCCCGGGGAGGGTTGATGAGAAATTATCGGGATGGTTTACATTTTTGGGTCTGTATCCGGCCCTGGACGGAGTACCAATTTATCCTGATAGTGTTACAGGCAAGAAGGTGAAAGTTACTGCAACCTTGTGGGGGCAGCGAGTCCCCACCCTCAGCTCCACCCGCAGCTGTGCTCCCCTGGGCAGCCTGTGTCCTCCCCTCCCCAGACCACCTAGCCTGTGCACGGCCTCCCGCCCCAGCTCTGCCTCTGCCGCCAGTTCCTTCCCCACCTCCGTGGTCAGCTCCCTGTCCCCTGCCCCGCCCTCCAGACACCCAGTCCTGAGCAACAAACCCCACTCGCTGGTCACTGAACTAGGTTTGTCACCCCGAGACTCTTAACCTCTCAGTGCCAATAAAATGGGAATATTCTACCTCCTTCTTAGAGTTATGCTGAGTAAATGAGGGCCAGCCTAACACATGGCAGGTGGTGCAGGCACCTCATGAATGTAAGCCCTTCACCCTGAACCTGGCAGAGACAAAATGATGCCTGAGACGGTGATTACTACCAGCAGTTCCCACTGCTGGCTCTGTCTGTCCAGGGTAGTCTGTGTGTGTGCCCACTGCGCTTGTATGGGGGGGGGGGGCAAGGACTAGCTGCGGGGAGATGGACGCAGGGACCTGTGATCTTCTGGGGCTTGGTGCTGCAGCGTCCTTAGTCTGAGACCTGTCCAGCTTTTAAAATCGGATTTCATATCAAATTCTGAATTTTCAACTTCTCTTTAAAAAAAGAAAATCAGAAGATCTGACAATATTAAATCACTATTTCTGCCTATCGACAGTGCACTGGAATTGAATAGCACATGCTCCCTTTAGATGGGACATTTGCCCTCCAGTGCACCCCCTCCACAACTAGCTAGCTGCCCTCCTCTTTGTTGCTTATACTCCCGGCATGAGGAACACTTAGCTCCTTTTCAGGGTTGATTCTATATGTATATGCTTTTTAAAGTGCTGGAATCTCTTCCCACCCAGTGGTAGGTGAGCGAAGCCCGTTTTGGTGATATTCAGATCTGGATCATCCCGTCCATTTCTCAGCTGAGATCACGGTCCCATAGTGATTCACGTGGGAGTGGGCCAGAGGATCTTCACGGGCAAGGACCGGAGGAGCATGGCAAAAGGAAGGCTGAACGCTAAGACAGAGGCGGATTGAGGGGGATAGAGTCGAAGTAGAGAGAGGGCGAGGAAGGGAGCTGACCGTTTGTTGAGCACCCAGCCTGGTGTGCCAGGCACCAAGCCAGGCAGGTACAGGAGAGGCAAAGATCTTTTCTGCCCCTAGGATCCCATTGATACTGATCACACCGTGAGACCAAATTCTCAGAGGCCCCAGATTTAACACCAGGTTTGTCCGATGTGGCCTTCTCCTCCAGTGTTTGTCCAGTGTCAGGACTTTGGGCGCCCTGAGAGTGTATCTGCCAGCAGTCCTCAGACCTCAGTTTCACAAATGCCTCGATTAAATGTTTACCCTGCCATAGTGAGGGATCACACTGGGTTAAATGCAAATATGGAAATTGCATAATAGTGCTCAATATTAAGGTCCGTATCCAGATGATACGAAAGCAAAACAAAACACCTGTATTGCTTTTTAGATGACAATTGGCATGTAGACACAGAATTGTGTCTTCTTGGTCATAGAAAATACAACAATTATTAGTGAGTCCTCCTGATGTGCCGGGTGCCATTCTAAGCAGTTTCATGTATTAGCTCATTTAAACTATAAAAAGCCACCACCCTCCCGCCGATAAGGAAACCGAGGCTCGGACCAGCTAAGCAACTAGCCTGCGGTAACAGCAAATACATAGCATTGCCCACATTGGAAGCCAAGCACTCTGCTTCCTCCCTTAACCATCATGCTCTACAGCCAGCCTCTGGCTAAAGACCCCAGTTTGATAAGCTCAGCTGGACGACCAACCCACCGCAATTTGCAGGTGAGGGAAGTGTGTGGTGGGGGCTGGGGAGGAGGAAGGCTCCGGCAGCTCACGCAGGGAGTACTGGAGGGGCATGCAGAGGCTGGTGTTTGGGGGTGGCTGGGGGCGTCCCTGCCCCGGCTTAGCTTGGCTGCAGAGCCAGGTGGGACCCGTCAGCCTCGTGTAAACACTTCTCACAGGGGCAGCTTAACCACTTGAGTGTGACTGGCCTTCAAAGCTGGTGGGAGAGGCCGAGAAGGGAAGTGCTGAACTCCCTTGAGGGATAATGATTTATCTCCCATGCAGGTGGGCTCCCTGGGGCCTCCCCCAGAGGCCAAGGGGAAAGGGGTTGGGACAGGGTGGGAGGGGCACTGCCACTCCAGCATTTCAGATTTCTCATTAGTAAGCCAAAACTCGGCCAACTCTGAGAGCAAGCCTGTGAAACCGGCATCTTTATCCCCATTTTATAGATGAAGAAACTGACAATCCGAGAGGCTGAGTGACTTGTCCAGAGGCATCTAGCTAGTGGGTGGGATGGCGATGCTTCCCTGGCATCTTCAAAGCTTCCCGAAGGCTGGCTGGTTCCTCCTGTCCCTGGGCGAGCGCGGGTGGGTCTGCAGCCAAGTGTGCGGGGCCACGCTTTCAAGCAGGCCTCGGCTGGGAGAATGTGCGGAAGTGTGTGATCCCGAGTGTGCAGTGCGGTGTTCGGGGCCCGGACTCCCAGGTCGGGCTCCAGACACATTGCACTGGAGAGGGACTGGCTCCCCCTGCCCCCATCACCCGGCCATCGGGTCCAGAGACCTGGCTCTCGCTGGGCCGGGGGATTATCCCCATTCTCTGTGTCTCTGGCCAGGGCGGGCATCACTGCCTCTTTTATCCTCGCACAAAGGCCAGGCCCGCAGGGCCTGCTGTGTCAGAGTTTCTGTGGCCGGGGGAAGCCTTACTTCCTTTTCTCCCGCCAAGCCCAGAGGGCCACGCAGAGTCTGCCAGCTTGTCGGGGGCCACTGCTCTAGTTTCACAGGTGAAAGGCACAGGGGTGACTCAGCACACAGGGAAGAGAGGGCTGAGGGGTCACTCACAGAAGGGCAGAGAGAGCTCCTCTTCAAGACACAGGCTATTACTGCAGCATGAGGCCTGGAGGGTAGATCTAAAGAAGCACTTCCAGTTAGAGCTGGCCAATATTGGGCAGGGGTGGGGCCAGCTGGTTCCCAGGGATCCACAGATTGGATGTGAGTGTCCACCATATTCCAGCTGTGTGAGTAGCCGGCTCCAGGCCCAGGTTAGGGGATTCTGCAAAATTCCTAGGAGAAGGAGCAGATTTCTTCTACAGTGGGGCCAGGTGGGTAACTTGTCATATTCAACCATGCTGAGTTCTCAGTCTTCAGGGTAGGAGACCACATGGGAGGGTAGGAGGTGTAAGTTGGGGGAACCCCATGGTTCCCCAGAATTAACCTTTCTTTCTTCTCCCCCAACAGGTTGGTTTTTGGAGGTGTCCCTGCTGAAGTGACAAAGAGTTCTCCCATGTGACACACCCTGAGGTGCCTTTGGGGAAAGCTCTCTGGACCTCCCAATGGGCTGATGAAGAAGTGGGCTCCCCACACCCTCTCTGTCCCCAACTAAGATTATGGTGGATTTGGGATACGGCCCAGGCCTGGGCCTCGTGCTGCTGACCCAGCCCCGCAGGCATTAGCAAGAGCCCTGTGCTGTCCACCCCCCCCCCCCAGAGACCACCCCTCCTACCAGGGGACTGGAGCTGGCAAGTGACTATGCGGCTTGGGCTGTGTGTGGTGGCCCTGGTTCTGAGCTGGATGCATCTCGTTGCCGGCAGCCGGGGGATCAAGGGGAAGAGGCAGAGGCGGAGTGAGTAATGGAGTGGGGCTGGACCACCCCTGGCCTTGGGAGCGGGAGGGGGCCGCCTGGGGACTAGAGGGCCATCAGTGGTTTCATTCTGTGATGACCATTGCAGATTCTACTTTGTCTATTACAATTGCGTAGATTACTCAAGAGATTATCCTGTTTGTGGATTATCCGGTGTGTGGATTAATTTGTTGAGATTACCCACTCTGTAGATTACCCACTTTGTCTATTTTCCCCTTTGTAGACTCTGCTATCTAGATTAACCTCTCTCTTGTGAGGATCCAGTGTGTGGATTATGCCCTTTGACATAACACCAGCTTTGTGTGGTATCCATGGAGATGTGTCCCCCTGCTGCTGTGGCCCCAGCCCCAGGGTGTTTGGCCCCCTCCTCACGCATAGGAGTTCACGGCTCTTTTCTTTGGGTCTTGGCTGAAGTGCAGCCCCCAGTAGCCCCTTGGGGCCAGGAACCCTACTCAGCTTGGTCAACAGCTTTCCCTGCCAAGATCCCCGGGGGCAGAGACAGCAGAGTAGGGAGGCTCGTGAGACTGTCCACTCCTGTGGTTTTTCACTCTGCACGGTAGGATTCAGGGAGCTTCGCTGGGGGCAGAAGGGGAGGCAGTGGGAAGGAGTCTGGCCCCACTGCCCGTCCAACCAGAGTGCCTCACTCTTTCCTGTTTTCGGCAAGATTTCATGTAAGATGTCACTGGAAGGAGGGGTTCTCACAGTTTAAAAAAAAAAAATGCATTCTCTTAATGTACAGATAGGCCTAAGGACACCCTGTCGATACTGGAACCCAATTCCCGTGAGTCCCGTCTTCCTAAAAACGAGCTTGATGGAGCTCATGATGAACCTGTCCCCACAGAATCCCATTCCAGGCAGCCCTGAGAGCGCTGGGGCCTCAGCCAGGCTCCTGTGATGGGGATGGGGGATCCGAACCTGCCCAGTACGGATGGGAGTGGCCACTCCTGGGGCTAGGGAGTGGGAGGGGGCCTCTGGTACAGACCCCAAGGCCTCTCTCCCTTTCAGCGTCCCCCATCAGGGATGTCACGCTCCTCTGACGTGTAGCACGAGCACCTCTTGCTTCACTCTGAGGCCTTCAGACCGAGGCCCACCCGGAAAGGTTGAAAGGCAGCGGAGTTTGTTGGGTCTTGACCGACAGGGCCAAGGCCAGAACCCAGCCCAGGGAGAGAAGCTCAGAGAATTGGTGAAGCTGAAAATCCCTGGCTTAACACACAATTAGAGACGGTTAGGTTTAATCAGCAGCGAGGCCTTGATTTTCCTCCCTGCTCATCTGTTGCGGCCGGTATTTTGGACTCCACGGGCCCGATGCAGTTTAGCGGTCTGTAACCAGTCTCCTCTGTTTCCGAGAGGAGAGAGAGAGCACGCGAGCGAACGAGAGGGGCCACTCATGCTTGTGCAACGCACACTAGTGGTCACACTTCCACTCACAGGCAGAGCCACACACCCCCCCTCCCTAAGCCAGGGATCGAAGATCGGGGTTCAAGTCTGTTGTACTGAAAACAGCAACAACAGAGGACTGGCCTGAGCATCGGAAAGGCCCGGCCCCCTCGACAGCCAGGCGACGGCAGCAGTTTGACGGGTCCACTTATGAGGCAGCCCCCGGTAACAGCCCTGGCAGTGGGAACCCTGTTCTTATTACCAAGTGGTGTGAGTGACAAACGTCCCTCATAGTGACATGTGAGGGTGGAGAAAGACTCGGGGTGCAGTGAGGACCCAGAGAGGGATGAGGGTAGATGTTGCTGGACGACGCTTGTTGAATAGAAACCATAAAGCTGCCAGGGTCATTGTAAAGGGGTATATTAAAGCCTATGGGAGATTTTATTTCTGTGTATAAATTGGTTGGGAACCCTTTATAAAATATCAAGCTCTGTCTAGACTTCGGGATGCATGTTGTCGTTATATGAACCATGTGGCCCTAGGGTTTCCAGGGAGTGAGGAGGGAAGAAGGAGGCCCATGAAGCGGTGTGTGGCTCCTCAGACCTTGCAGCCACGGGGAGGGGGCGGGGGGGCAGTGGGGAGCCAGCATGCGGAGGTAGGCTGGCTGTGCGGATGAGCGTCAGGTCTGTCCACTCTGTCTGCCATCCGGAACTGCAAGTCGGTAGGACTGTCAGAAGACACCAGATAGAGCTGTGATCGGGAGGCATACACCAGTTTTGAGTCCAGAAATGGCTGATCTCAGGCCTGGGTGATGGTCTCCCTGCACGGAGGGGGTGAAATTGAGCAAAGCACTCTGGAACCCTGGCGGAGCGACTTCCTCCTCTCCCATTCACTGAGGACCCATCCCCTCCCCGAGCCCTCTCTTCACTCACTCAGCCTCTTGTCTCCTCGCTGGCCCTCACCTGCTCTCCTGAATGTTTTCCTGCCTGGGATTTCCTGCTCCTCAGGGTGCCCACCTTTATTCACTACTCCTGGCATTGAGTACTCCTTCCCCTTACTGAGACCCTTCTCCTATGTGATTCCTGGGCCCCTTACTCAAGTCCTGCCCCCGTGAAGCCCTCGTTCCTTCCCTGAAGCCCGACTCCCCCATCCGACCCCATCCAGACTTTGTGGGGAAGTGAGATCAGGGGAGACTTCCTGGAGGAGGTGACTTTAGTTCTGAGGCTTGAAGGAGTTCGTCAGGCTCAGGAGGTGGCAGAGAATGTTCCGGGTGGAAGGACCAACTTGAGCAAAGGCACAGAGGTGTGCAATAGTGTGATGTGTCCAGACAAACAAAAATAGTTCTATATAGCTGCGGGGTAGTGTTGAGAGATGAGGCGGATAGGATCAGCTCACGGAAGCTTTTTAGGCCAGGTGGAGAAGTTAATAAGACCAGATGGGTCTCAATTCTGCTGGTGATAGGGAGGCATGGATGGACTTTAGGCAGGGGTGTTTTGGTTTTAGGAACATCAATTTGCAAGCGTTTTACACAAGAATGGATGAAGGAGCCTAAGAAGCCCCTGGGGAATGGAGGGGAGCACAGCCTTGCCTTCCTGGCCTGACTGAAGTGGGCTTCACTGAAGACTTGGGGGAGGGGGAGCAGAGCTGTGTGAGCGGGGGTTTTGTGAAGAGGTTGGGAAGCAGGCTCCAGAACCTCTCCAAGGGCCCTCCACTTCGCCCAGCCCACCCAGCCTCCACAACGAGGCTATAGCCCTACAAGGCTGCCTCCCCTGCGCACCTCCCTACATCATAGGCATAGGAACCTTGCATGTGGTGAATCTGGCCACGCCCTTCCGAGGTCCCCTTCCCTGCCAGTAGCATAAAGCCCTATTTTCCATTCTGTGAATGCACTAGGATGTTCAGTGCCTCAGAGCCTTTGCACAGGCTGTTCCTTCTGTGTGGCGCACCCTCTTCACCTAGCCAGCCGGGTAAGGGAGTGCCTTCCATTACTCATCCACTTACACGGTGTGAGCCAGTCCTGCTTGCCGCATCCCTGGGTGGGCCTTTGTTTATACCTCAGCTCTAGCTCTAGGTCCCCAGCTCCTAGCACTTCTGGGAACGTGTTAGGTGTGCAGTAAATGTCTATGGAATGAACGAGCCTCAGTTTTTCCCTTTGAATCATTATGCACCCCCCAATGCCCACCATCTTCCTTGGACTCCATTTCCCACACACAGAGTCCCCTCCCTGTGGCTGTCTAGCACCCCACTGCCCGTGCATCTGTATCACTAAGCTGAGAACACCCTTGGGTTCCTATCCTTCTTGACCAGCATCCCTTTCCTCATTGAACTGACCCCTGCCCATCACTGAACCCCTCTCCTCCTTGATAAGCTCTCCTTCCTCTTCCTGAGCCCCCAAACTTCATGGAGCTCAATTCCCTTTGTCCCTGTCTCAAGCCCCAGGGCCAGTCTTACCACCTGAGCTCTGCATTGCCACTCTCCTGTATCCTTGGGTCTTGGCTCCATCAGTTCACCCAGCCTCGGAGTCTCAGAGGCTCATGATCACAGCCCCTGCTCCCAGCTGCTCTCCCCTCTCTATCTGTGTTCTCCGATGCTCTCTGGCCCTCTCCTCCCTTTACCTCCACATCCACCCCTCCCACCCACTTCCCATCCCCCACTCCACCAGAACTGCTCCTGTCGGGGTCAGCCAGTCGGTCACCTCCCTGTGCCAGCCGTGGTCTCTCCCCAGCTGTCCCTGCACATCTCCCCCTTTGCAACGTTGTTCCTGTGCCCACTCTCCCTCAGCGACCCACCCCCACCCCAGGATTCCTTCTCAGATTCTCTCCGAGCCCCTCCTCCACGCTGACCTGTTGAGTGGGTGTTGACCCACTGCTCAGCCTCTGCCTCGGGATGACTCCCACTCGCATGATTTAACCACTGATGACCATGGTTTCCACAGATGGATCCCTGGGTTCTCTCCCCTGCTCCACAGCTGATTTCTTGAATGAGATGGCTCTCCTTCCTCTACTCCTCGACCACTGCCCTCTGCCCTCTGCCCCCATCAGGGGCGCTATTGCTGCCTCCTTGCCTGACACCTCAGCAGCATTGGCATGGTGACCCCTCTCTGCCCTGCCCAGTGCTCTCTGCTCTTGGCTTTCATATTCACTGTGCTTTTGAATGGCCTTTCTTTTTTCTGCCCTTCCCTTAAATGCCTGGTTCCTTTGCTCACTCCCTTGACCCACTGTCCTTGCTGTCTCGTGGACCCCCATGCCTTTATGACTGTTTTCATGTTAAGGACTCCACATTGCAGTCTCCAGGCAAAATGTTTCTCTTGAGTTCCAGACCCACAGGTTCAACTGCCTAATAGACACCTTCCCCCGGATGTCCCACAGGAGCCACAACCTGAACACAACACATCTAAAACCTGACTACCCATCATTCCTCCACCCAAACCTGCTCCTCCTCCTGTGCTCCCCTTTCGGTGAAGGGCCAAGGGCAACCCTGTCACACAAGCCCAACACCTTGGAGTCACCCTCAGCTTGTGCATTCCCCAGCCCTCTGTCCCAGGTCCAGCCCACCACCTGGTTTTATTGATTCTCCCACCTGAGTATCTCACCTGTGTCCACTCCTTGGCATCTTCTCAGTTCAGCCCTGTCTCTTCGAGCTTGAGGCATCTTCTTGCCTTCAGACTTGCCGTCCCTGAAGCCCATTCTCCATATCACAGAATGATCCTGACCATGTCTCTGATTTTAAAGCCCCCAGTAATTCTTCACTGCCTTCACAATGTCCAAACTCCTTTGTACAGAGTCAAGACCCTTCTTCATCTTGGTCTGCCTCCCTCTCCAGCTTCATGTTTAACCACTCCCTCCATGCTCCCCCCCAAGTTGGTTCCAGACCCCTAGTGCTCCATGCTTTCTCTTGCTTTGTCATTGAGAGATTTGAAGAGAAATGCACACAGAGATGAGTTGTTGGTTGAATGGGAGGTGGGCAGCAGGATTCTGAGAAGGCCTTTTGCAAATCTGTCATTAACAAAAGTGACAAGGATGGAATCCATAAGCATGGGAACATAGCTATCTGGCTGGCAAATGGGACGCCGGGATCAATTCAGTTATTGAAACCAAGGCAAGAATAGAGGGAACATTCATTTCATTTCTTTTTTTTTTTTTTAAAGATTTTATTTATTTATTTGAGAGAGAGAGACAGCGAGAGAGGGAACACAAGCAGGGGGAGTGGGAGAGGGAGAAGCAGGCTTCCCGCTGAGCAGGGAGCCCGATGTGGGGCTTGATCCCAGGACCCTGGGACCATGACCTGAGCCGAAGGCAGACGCTTAATGACTGAGCCACCCAGCTGCCCCCCCTTTTTTTTTTTAAAAAGATTTTTTAAATTTTTATTTGGGAACATTCATTTCAACAATGAATTCAGTAAAAACCTTGAATAATAGAGGATATAGTAGCTTTGAAGTAGAAGTAGTACCTAAAATCTACAGTAACTTATTAATTTGTAATACAGCCAAATAAAGGCCCAAAGTGGAAAAATAAACCAAAGGGCTCCCTCATAATGCCAAATGCAACATTTGAGTATTTTTGTTCTTAGAAGAACTAAACCAAGAACAATATTAATTTTTAGGGGCACCTGGGTGGCTCAGTCGTTAAGTGTCTGCCTTCGGCTCAGGTCATGATTCCAGGTCCTGGGATGGAGCCTCGCATCGGGCTCCCTGCTCGGCAGGAAGCCTGCTTCTGAATCCTCTGCCACTCCCACTGCTTGTGTTCCCTCTCTTGCTGTGTCTCTCTCTGTCAAATAAATAAATAAAGTCTTAAAAAAAAAAGAACAATATTAATTTTTTAATGTATTGATTAATTAACACGGGCTCTATACAAATCAATTCTATATTAAAAAAAAATCAGTCTACCTGTACTTCTGGTCTCCACATCCCCTCGTGTGATCCTGCCCTTCGCCTTCCCAAACTTTGTTCCCTCTGCCTGGCACACATGCTGGCTGCGAAGCCTCGTTCAAGTCATTTAACATCTCCATGTCCTCCTCTGTAAAAACGAGACTTACAAACTAAGAACCGCGCCTCCTTCGTGGATTGCAAGGATTAAGTAAGTGAAAGCGTGAGGAGCCCTGGGAACAGAGTAAGCGCGCCACATTTAGGAGATAGCAGCCACTACCATGGTCCTGGTCGTCGTTCTATGGCTGTTTGTTCCTGACTCTTCCCCTTCTGCTCACCTTCTTAACTCTTGCTCATTCCTGTTCTGAAATCAGGGATCACTCCTGCAGCAAGGTCACTTCTCCCAGCGGTCCTCTAGAGAGGACATCCTCACGTCCATTTCCAGTGGTGGGGAAGGAGGCGCACGAGACGCTGTGTTTTGCCCCGGGGCACGGGTCCAGCCTGCATCTCCGGCTCCTCGCTTCATGCTGGCTCCTAAGTGGCTCACAAACCTCTCTTTGTGTTACCTTCTCCACTTGCCTCTCTTCCCGTGGGATGGACCTCGTTCGGCGACCGGCCCCACTGTTCCACCACCTACCCTAGCACTCACCCGAGGCTCCTCCCTCCTGTCGGTCTCCTTTGCCAGATTCTCTCAAATCTTCTTCTGCCCACCGCCAACCGAGCAGAATTTTGTTTAAGACGTTTCTCATCTTTCTCACCTGGATGATCTGGTCAGCTTCCTTCCAAATGGCCCTTCGGCCTGGTCTCCACCCAGGCTGCCAGCGGAACCTTCCAACGTGTAAATCAGCCCGGGTCCCACACCTTGGCCAATAGCTTCCAACGATCTAAAAAGTATTCATAAAATAAATAAATAAATAAAAATAGCCAGTAGTCAGAACGGTCCCAAGAAAAACGCTGCAAAACAAGGGTTCTTTGGCCAAAATACTTGGGAAATAAAACTTCCCCTGTCCCCCTTTTAGGGAGTCAGTCTGCACAGGAGCGTAATAAGGGTTGAAGAAGCCCCTTGGTAAGGAATCCCATTTAGGCCTGTCGGACCCAGTGGTTCTGTCTTCCCTGACCTAGTTGCCTTTCCTCCACAGCCTCTGATGAACATCTAGGGGACAGTGTGTTCCAGGAATGCTCTTTGGGAAACGCTGCCTGGCAGGGTCAAGTTCAGGTTCCTTAGCATGATTGCCTTTCACCACTCCCCTCCCCACCCCTGCTGCACCCCAAGTCATCTGCAGTTCCCTTTGGGTTCTTTTCTACCTCTGTGGGCCTGCTCCTAGAAGGACCCTCATCTCTACTTTGTGGTGGACAAATCTCTACTAATTCTTCAAGAGTTGGCCCAAAAGGCACCTTCTTCGTGACTCCTTCCCCTCTCTTCTTTTTGGGTTCACTATTGCTAGGCCTTGCGGCTGTCAGCATTTGCCTGTTTGCAGGTCTGTCACCGCCGAAAGATCAGTTTGGAGTGGTCAGGTGAGCCTCCCTCCATGTCCCCAGCGCTCACCTGGCACAGGGTACTTGGGAGGGGCGTGGGGAGTATTGGTTAAACAAGTGGCATCAAAGGGTTGAGACCCTGTGCTGGGGCTGGAGATCACACTGCCTCAAAGAATGGCCAGTGTTTCCCAACCTCAGCATCATTGACATTTTGAGCCAGACAACTTGTTGTGGCCCCCCCCCACCCTATGCATTGTAGGATGTTTAGGGGCATCCCTGGCCTATCTCCCCTAGATGCCAGCAACAACCCCCTCCCCAGTGTGACAATCAGAAATGTCTCTAGACTTTGCCAAATACCCCCTGGGGAGCAAAATCGTCTCTGGTTAAGACCACTGTTCCCCACCTCCCACCTACTGTTCCCACTGTTCCCTGTTCCAGTTGTTTTCCTGTCTCTGAGCAGACGATCTTTTTCTCAGATAGTTTAACCCGTTGTCCTTCTTGACCTTAAAACTTTCTCATGGATAAAAAATCCCCTTCTTCCACGCCTGAGGCTGAGCTTTTCTTCCTCTGGGGAGGGGCAGGGCAGGTTCCAGGAAAAGCGCAGCTTCAGTAGCTCCTCAGGAAATGGCCGAGCCAGCCTGGAGAGTGAGCCTGTGTTGTACCTGGAGCTGGGGAGACATTGCGGGGGGGGGGGGCCTCTTGCTTCGGGCATCTGTGCCAGTTCTCCTGGGAGATGATGCTGGGAGGTTTGTCAGGCAGCTTTTCGAGAAGCTGTCATCCTGGCCTGTACTTTCTGAACAGCACATTCGTTGTGTGCGAAGAAACTCCAGTCTCCTCACCTCCCACCCTTGTGGGAGCCTGGGAAAGCGGGAGGTCTCTCCTACAGCCGCCTTCTCACCCCTGTTCCACCCTTGCAGTCAGTGCCGAGGGGAGCCAGGCCTGTGCCAAAGGTTGTGAGCTCTGCTCTGAGGTCAACGGCTGCCTCAAGTGCTCGCCCAAGCTGTTCATCCTGCTGGAGAGGAACGACATTCGCCAGGTGGGCGTCTGCTTGCCTTCCTGCCCGCCTGGATACTTCGATGCCCGCAACCCCGACATGAACAAGTGCATCAGTGAGTGCGGGGAGGGCTGGAAAAGGCTCTGGACACTGGGGGAGGGTGCTTTGAATTGTTGGGGGCAGGCAAGAGGAGTAGAGGGGACACAGAGGAGGGGAGACGGGGCTCCTGATTCAAGTACCCAGCGGCCAGCCCCACGTCTCAGAGAGTCCATCCGCCTTTCCAGCTCCACGCGTCCATATCAGAGCCGCATCTCCCTCCTCTAAACCTGCACTCCCGCAGTGTCCTGGGCCACTCACGCCATCCACCTGAGAGCCAGCCTGTCATTCATGCCCTCTCCCATCCATCTAATGACCAAACCGTGCCTGCTGCCTTTCCTTTCCATCCTCATGGCTATAGTCTCTCCTGGACCATCCCAATAGCCTGCTTCTCTGTCCTCCAGCACTCATCTGGTTCCCTTGAGCCCTCCCTCCATGCTGCAGCCAGAAAGATGCTTCTGAAACACGTGTCCTGTCCCATCACACTTCTGCTTGAAAACCACCCCAGCTCCCCGGACCGCAGGGAAAATCCGAGCCCCTGTCAGCCTGTCCACTCCCCGCCCCCCACCCCTGTGCCCGGGTCTTCTTGCTGGCTGGGCGCGGCTCTCCCACAGCAGCTGCAGTTCCACGTGCTCTAAGGCATGTGCTGCCCCACCTCTGTTCAGACTCACTGTGACATACTGGGGGACAGGCAGGGAACCCACTTCCGTGAACAATGCCGGTGCCCCTCCCGTTTGCTCAGAGCTTTGGAGATTAGAACGCATTTCCAGATCGCGTATCAGTTGAGTCTCACAACAGCCTTTGGAGGGAGATGGGACCTAAGTGACAGGAGCCCTTTTTGGGGGCTGACAACAGTGAGGCTGCCAGGGGAAATGGCTGACCCGAGATCGGCCTTGGGTTCTAATCTCTACTGCTTCTTTCTCGTTGGATAACTTCAGGTGTGTTGCAGCCTCTCAAAACCTCATCTCTAAGATGAGAGTGCTAGTTTTCACCCCCTAGGGCTGTCGCCAGGGGCATATGGAAAGCCCTTAGTGTCCGGCGCTCGACACACGGTAGTGGCTGTCCTTACCATATGTCACCTGCCACCAGACCCAGGGCCCTGAGCAAGAGAGGAGGGAGGAGGCGAGACGAAGAAGCCACAGAGCCCAGGAGGCACAGAGGAGGGGTCTGGTGCGGTAGGGTGGGGAGCTTTTGAGGATGGAAGGGGGACCCCGGGGCTGCCCTCTTGGTCCTCAGGGTATTTGGGGTAGGAATGCCTGGCTGTGTCAGCTCCTGTGAAACTGGCAGCCCAAGCCTCAGGTGCCAGAGGCTGGGAGGAAGTCAGCCCTGCCCACGGTCTGGGAAGGGAGAGGTTGTGAAAGACTCTGCTTGCTCCCAGCCGGGGCCCTGGGACCCTCCCTCCCCCACTTCCCCAGAGGAGGGAGAGATGGCCGGAGGGCATCAGGGAGGGACCCAGGAGTCCAACCAAGGTCGTTCCTGGAACTGGGCCTCGCAGAGGGAGAGGAATTTGCCCTGGGATCTCTCCTCCCCGCTCCAAGCAGATTTTTTTTCTCAGGGCAGGAGGGGAACCAGGGTTTGGGGTGTTGTGGATGCCCAGCAATGGGGAGAGGAAACCACACAGCCATGAGCGGGCGTCATGGCATCCCCTCAGTTCAACTCTGATTAGGTGGCCCTCTGGGGTGCCATGACATGCCGGGACCCTTCTGTCTCCCCGCCCAGGAATCCCAGAGGGTCCCGCCCTCCTCCTCTGAAACCAGCTCCCTTGGGCCTCGCCTCGGTTCCAGGGCCTGGGATTGGATTTGGGGTGGCGTTGGCTGGCCGGCCCGGCCAGCCCTGAAGAGTGGCCACTTTGGCTCCCTCTGCCCACTCAGTCCTTGCCTTCCCTCCCAGGATTCTCCTGTGGTCATGGCAGGTCCAGGCCAGGGTCTTGCCCTTGGGGGGAGGTGCCCTCAGGTGGGGGACTTTGGGAACGGGGGATGAGCCAGAGGCCCCCAATCTGGCCCTCTCCTCAGAGTGCAAGATTGAGCACTGTGAGGCCTGCTTCAGCCACAACTTCTGCACCAAGTGTAAGGAGAACTTGTACCTGCACAAGGGCCGCTGCTATCCGGCCTGTCCTGAGGGCTCGGCGGCGGCGAACGGCACCATGGAGTGCAGCAGTCCTGGTGAGTCTGTGGGGGGGGGGATGGGGCGTGGAGGCAGGGGAGGGACAGGGAGAGCCCGCTTACCTCCCACCCGCACCCCCTCCCCCGACCACCCTGTGGGGTTCGTCCCAGGGTTTTTCTGCCCTCTGGACTGAAGAGGCCTCCAGCCTCAGGCTCAGGCTGAGAGCAGGTGGGAAGGGCTCCCCTGGGGCATTCTGGGGTACCCAGGGGTGACCCCCCTCCTCCCCTTCTTCCTCCCCCTCTTCCCTCCCTTCCTGCCAGCACAATGTGAAATGAGTGAGTGGTCCTTGTGGGGGCCGTGCTCCAAGAAGAAGAGGCTCTGTGGCTTCCGGAGGGGCTCTGAGGAGCGGACTCGAAGGGTGCTCCATGCCCCTGGTGGGGACCACGCCGTCTGCTCTGACACCAAGGAGACCCGCAGGTGCACAGTGCGGAGGACGCCCTGTCCCGAGGGTGAGCTGCGGCCTCTGCCTCCCCCGGGGCTGGGAGTCAGGGACAGCCATGGAGGTCTGACCACTTCTGCCTCCTGGCTGTCACCCCGGAAAGGGCCGCAGGCCAGGGCCAGACGGGAACCCCCAACTCAAGACGCCATGCTGGGGGAACCAGTGCTGGGTGCTGGCAGAGAGCAGTCCCCAGAACTGTGTGGTGGGAGTTGGAAGCTTCAGTGTCTGTGTCCTCCAGTTGCCCCATTTCCTCTGAACTGGCAGATGTTGGCATTGGAAGGACCCTCAGAGGTCAGATGGGGCTGCGGAGGGGGGTGCTAAGACCCAGGGAGGTGTAGTGATGTGACCAAGGCCACACAACCTGTAGTTGGCAATGATGCGGCAGCTACCCCCAGAGGCAGTGGAGTGGGGCAGAGGAGCTGGGGTCTGTCCTGCTTGTCCTGAGAGCTGCACCAAACATCTTAGCCCATTGGGGTCCAAGGTCTGAGAGACGCACAAGGGAGAGGAGGGTGTCTGGTTCATCGAGGGATGGGGGGCGAAAGGCTCCTCGGACCCCCCGGCTCCGTACGCATGTTGCAGGGTCCCCTGAAGTGGCCACTAGTCAGAAGAGGCTTTGAGGGGGACCCCCACTGCCAAAAGGCAGAGACTCCCCCCCCCCCCCCCCGCCCCCTGCCCAGCTTCCTCCCCACTCCCCTCCTAGAGCCCTGGGCCATGCCTGGGGCCTCCTTACTTTGCTTCAGGACATCCTTTGTTGACTCTTCCCGCTGTTGGGATTGCAGGACAGAAGAGGAGGAAAGGGGGCCGGGGGGAGAACGCCAACAGGAACCTGAGCAGGAAGGAGAGCAAGGAGGTGGGTGCCGGCGCTCGGAGACGCAAGGGCCAGCAACAGTCGCAGCACCAAGGGACAGTGGGGCCGGTCACACCTGCGGGGCCCACCTAGGGACATTCATCACCTCCAGGCCCTCGCAGAAAGAGTCCAGCGCTGCTCTGTGTGATGGAAGCTTTACCGAACTGGAGCGCTGGGGGCAAAGTGTGCACACACTCTCCATACATATATGGACACACAGACACACACACACAGGGCCCATGTCCAAACATGCAACCAACATACATGCGCGTGCGTGCGCGTGCGCACACACACACACACACACACACACACAACCAAGGCCACCGGAAGACACTTCTCTCTTGGACATCACTGCATGAACAGGGTGGGGAGGTGGAGGGGTCACCTTTGCCTGGCAGAGGGCCCAGTGGAACAGACTTGGTTTGAGATGCTCCCAAGGGATATGTCAGAGGGACCATTTCCCAGCGTCCAAGCCCAAACAGAGTGGAGCCTTCTGGAGGAGCCGATAGGATCTGCCCGGTGTGGCAGACAGGAACCAAAGCTTGAGGACTGTTCAGCATTTTCAGCTGTGTGACTTTATCATTGGAGAGTATTGTTTCACACCCATGATCCATATCAGGGCTGCCCCGACTCTGAAAACTGCTTACAGGTTTATTTCAAATTAAAGACAAAACCAAATGACAACGGTAGCCACAGGCACCACATTCCTTCACAGGGTGCAGGGATTCGTGGGGTATGTGGGAGCAGACGGGACAGGGCTGAATTTCCAGAGACCCTCCCTAATGGCCTCCTGGACAGAGGGTCCAGAGCAGGAAAAAAACTTCGAGGATACTCTTGAGGGTGATACCCAGCTTCTCTACAGCCTTGTTACTCAGAGTGTGGTCTGTGGACCAGCATCCACGTTCTCACCGGGCAGCTTTTTAGAAGGGAGAGTCTCAGGTCCCATCCCAGACCTGATGAACCAGAGTCTGCATTATAACGAGGTCCCGGGTGACGGGCATGCACATTCAAGTTTAAGAAGCTCTGCTCTGATCACCTCTACGGATAGAACAAATGTCCTGGCCAGCTTGCCACAAGAGGGATTCTGGTCCGCTATAAAGGAAGACTTCCCAACTGGGAGAGGTAGAATCTGAGTCCTAGAACACTATAGTGGCACCCTAGGGGGAGGGGGTGCTCAGCCTCTCTGGGACGGTTGGGGACCGTTGGATCCAAAGGCAGGACAGCAGACAGCATGACCTCCTGTGGCATCTGAAGTGTCCACTGGCAGATATGTGCGCCAGGCCCTGGACTGAGTGGTTTCTTGGGGGAGCCAGGCATGGGCCTTGCTCTCCTGGAATGAGAAGTTGATAGGGGTGACAGGCATGAACCAAGGGATCATTCCAATAAATGTGTAATTACAAATGGGTGGGGTTAAGGCCAGGCAACCACTGGCACGTACACAGAGCTATGAAAGTGAATAAAAGTGAATAAAAATAAGACTTTATCTCAGGGAAGCTTTTCAGAGGAGGTAGTATTTGAGCCAAGCTCTGAAGGATGAGTAGGAGTTAAGACAAAGAGAAGGAATGGCATTCTAGACCGGTGCTGTCTGCTAGAAATACCAGATGAGCCACTTATGTAATTTAAAATTTTTCTAGTAGCCACATTTAACGAGTAAAAAGCAACAGGTGAAGTTAATTTTAATTATAGCTTTTATTACACCAAATATATGCTATAATGCTATCTTTTTAACATAATCAATATAAAAATTATGAGCAACATCTTTTACATTCTTTTTTTTTTTCAAACTAAGTCTTCAACATTCTCTGTATTTTTACATTTCACAGCATATCTTAATTTGGACACTATAAATTTTCACCAGAAATACTTGACTTGTATTTAGATTTCATAAAAATTGAAAAGTAGACTCACATCCTGAATTCCTGCTTCAGGAATAGTTAACAGTTTTCCAAAGATTGAATTGACTGTGTTTTAAATTTTAAAATTTAATAATTAAAATTAGGTAACATTAACGATTCAGTTCTTCGGTTGTGCCAGCTGTGTTTCAAGTGCTCGCTAGCTACACGTGGCTAGTGGCTACTGTGTTGGACAGCAGAGTTCTGTATAGACGGCATTGCACATGCAAATGTCCAGTGGCAGAAAGGAGCATGGTGTTCAAGGAACTGAAAGAAGGCCCAATATAGCTGGAAGGCCTGGAGGGCAAGTGAGATGAGATGATTCTAGAAAGGTCTCTTGTAGCTGGGTCTTTATTCTCAGAGCCAGAGGAAGCTGCTAAAGGGCAAGTGAGGGGCAAGTGAGATGAGATGATTCTAGAAAGGTCTCCTGTAGTTGGGTCTTTATTCTCAGAGCCAGAGGAAGCTGCTAAAGGGTTTTTAGCAGCCAGCCAAGATGACCAGATTTGTATTTGGCGAAGATCCTGGTGGCTGTCGTGTACAAGACAGACTGGAGGGAAGCTGCATCAGGGGGTATTGCTGTCATCCAGGTGAGAGGTGTTGGAGACACGGACTAGGGTGGAAATGGAGAGAAGTGGATAAAGTGACAAGGCATTTGGAGAATAAAGTTGGCAGAGTTTGGTGATACACTGGATGTGGAAGAGGGAAGAAAGGGAGAGGAGGTGTCAAGGACAAAGTCCCCATTTCTGGCTTGAACACCCCCAGGGTGATGGTTCAGTGTTCTGAGATGGGGAACCGGTCAGGAAGACCAGTTTGGGAGGACAAGGTTTTGATCATGTTAAGTGCGAGGTGTCTTTGAAACATCCTGGTGACCATGGCGAGTAGATGGTGTGTAGACACAAATGCAGGTCTAGCGTGCGCAGGGCATGTCGGAGCTGGAGCATGAACTGGTGTAGAGAAGGTAATTGAGGGTTTGGAAGAGGTCGCATAAAAAGAGAGTTGGAGACTCAGCTGTGCGGCCTTCCAGGTACAAAGATCAGATAATGGGGATCAAATCGGCTGAGAAGGCAGAGCAGGAGCAGAGGAGAGGGAACCAGGGAGTCCGCAAGCCGTAGAGAGGTCACAAGGACCTAAGGTGCCCAAGGGACCAAGTAAACGAGGACTGGAAATTGACCGTTGGACTTATAACACATGTGCCAATGGTAACCTCAGCAGGAGCCGTTCAGAGCGGGCATGGGGGCAGAAATCAGTACAGACAATTCCTTCGGGAAGTTGAGCAGAGAAAAGGGGAAAAGCCTGACAGGGGCTGGAAAGAGAGATGGAGGTAGAGAGAGTCCTTTTTTTTTAAGGTGGGAAAGACTTGAAAATGTTTAAAAACCCACTGGGAATCGTCCAGTTTAGAGAAAGAGGTTGCATCCACAGGAGAACAAAGGGGAAATCAGTGGTGGAAGGCTCCCAGCAGAGGGACAGCTAGATGGGAGCCCGGAGAGGCTGGTGCAGGTGAGGGAAGGATGGAGGTTTGGAAGGTGGGGGATCTCAGGTGTGGCACTTGACCCTCTGTGGGGCTCTTCCCACCCATACCAGAGAGCCGCCCTCACTGCAGGCCAGGATTTGGAGCCGGAGCTGCAGCCTGGGGGTCCGGCTGCCCACCGCCTCCTCTCCCTGACCCTGGCGCTATCTTTGCCATCTCCCTGGTCATCCGTCTTCATCTCCGGTTTTGGTCTCTACCTCTGCCCCTCCCTGTTTCTCTGACTCTGTCTTCCTCTGTCCCTCTTTCCATGACCATGTCTTTCTCTTTTCCCACCTCAGCCTCTGATTCTCGTCTCTCTGTTCTTCTGCCTCTCTTCTGGGCATCAACCCTCAGCCCCTCTGTGTCTTGGCTGCCTCTGGCTCTGACGGGTCCTAATCTCCCACATCCTCTAGGTCAATACTCACAAGTGTGGCCATGGATCAGCAACCTCAGAGCCTAAAAGTGCAAAATCTCATTCCCCTCCTCGACCTAAAGACTCTGAATCTGCCTTAGATCCCCAAGTCATTCACATGCATGTTTAGCGTTTGAGAAGCATTGCCTTAAGCTTTCCTTTAAAGCAACATCAAAGCAAAAATCAGGATCTTAGAACTTGGAATGATCCGAATCCTCCCGAGTCCCCTGGCACCTTGGTGATACTCTAAGGCATTCAGCTTCTCTGCATCACCTCCTCAAGCCTCCCAAATCTGCTCCTGAAGCTCTAGGCCACTAAGGAAGGGAACATAACGTGGGCTTCTGTGGGTCCTGAGCTTCCATGCCTGCAGAATTACTGGTGGGAGGCAAGTCTCCCGACACCAATGAGCTGGGTGCTTCCCAGTGGGACTCTAGTCCCTCCTTGAAAAGTTAGCCCACCTGGACCTGTCTCGCCCCTGTCTGTCTCACTCTTAATCCTTTCAAGACTAAGAATGGTTTTTTGAGCTGGTGGCAGGGTGTGGGTTTCACGATGGGGTTCAGTTACCTGCGCACAGCCCCAGAAGCAACACACCTGAGGCTGGAGACGGTAAGGATTGACCAGAAGTCACACCAGGTGAGTTTCAGAGTGAGCAGGTGCTGGAGAGAGGTAGTCCTGGTGAGATTCCTAACCCTACTCCTGGGTTTAGGCAAACACAGCACCTGATTCGTATGTGGCTGTTATGTGCCCACGTTGTCATTTGGGAAGTGTTAGCTTTGCCTCTCGACGGGGTCGCAGATCCGCCCCAACTAAGACATTTCTGGCCACCTTAGCCAGTGCCAGCTCTGGTATGTTTCAGACCAAGTCTCTAGAGAATGGATTTGTTTTCCACTTCAGTATTTTGAGTGATGGAGTTGTTTCCTGGATTTGTTTTTTTAAGTGGTTTTTCCCCTCTCTGGTTTGTTTGGTTTGGTTTGGTTTAGAAGGAATGAGAGAGAATTTAGGAAAAAGGGTCAGCTTCCTGGGCCCCATTCAAGCCTTTGACCCAGGGCCAGTCACTGAAGTGCTGCCTTTGTGCCCCAACTTCTCCAGCTGTGGTCCGGACCAGACTTAAGTGGACAGCAGGTGAAAACCCCGGTGAAAGTGGTAAGGAAGGGGAAAAGCAACCAGAGAGCAACAAGTTCCATTTTGGAGGACTAAAGAGATTGACTGCAAAGGGGTTGGAGCACTGTCTGGCTAGTAAAAGTGAGCAGGAACAAAAGCCTTGTTCTAGGGGAGTAGAGGA